TTTTATTATGTCCTGATACGTAAAACCATAGAAATCAAAGAGGGTGTACTTTCTTTTTCACGTGACTGTATACTGTGGCAATGGCAAAGAAGTCTTGCTTGACTGCCACTTGCCACCCCTGCATCTGCCCAACATAGACTGGTAGAGCTATTTAAGATAATAAAGGTCTTGTTAAATGTCTAGAACATCTGTTGTGATAGTTTTAAATTTTGTAGATAAAAACCACTGAATTTGAAATGTCAGATGTTATGGTTTTAGAAAAGTCAGATATGGATAGGACTAGAGCACCACCTTGTGCCTTAATCATGGATACTTACCAGCTTGTGCAATTGGAATATATAACAAATTGCTTGGAGGGTACAGGCTTACCACCCTTACCACCTTACCTATAACACCAAGGATATGGGGAATGAGCCAATTCTTGAACTAGATCCTATTCCTCACTCTGCTCTAGTCACAAGTAGAGATAGATGGATCTGTTAGATCAGTGTTGTTTTGAGTTCAGAATGTTCATGTATTTTTTATTCCAGTTATGAAGAAATATATGGATTCTTATAAGCCAAAAGTAACAGAACAAAATCCTTACTTTTCTGTGCTAGTCAAATTCATCACATGCACCTATTTTCTAGCTGTATAGCTGTTGAGCCTGCATGAAAAAAACAGGTAGTCACCCTAATCCAGAACCTCAAATATAACTGAATACATAGGAATCCGAATCTGATCTTTTAAGGCCTTACTGCTTCTTGGATGAACAATCTTTCTTTTCTAAATATCAACATTTCTGGAATATGGAGGTTAGACTTTAGTAATGCATTCTGTATGGTTGTTCTCTTTGAAGATGAACCAGAAATTTGACATATAATATGCTGAGATGTTGGTGGGAACAGGGTGAATGGAACGTATGTCATCAATTCTGTATCAAATGCACTAATTGTCAGTGTGTTTCTGATTCAAATTCAAAGTATTGATTGGTTTATAAAACCAAAAATGGTCTGGCCATCAAGTTCTGAACTGTTGGTAAGCATGAAAGGCAAGACATTCATACTGATTTCTTCCATATTGTTACAGCTTTCTGAAGTCATTTCCAATGTCAGTGCTGCCCACTATATATAAAATGCATTACAGTAATTCTGGGCTTCTTTCTTATAAGCACAAATTAATGTACTTCATAAAATATTCCTATTTATTTAAGAACAGGATAATTTTAATTGATCTATTTATAATGCTACCTAGTTTATTGTATTGTATCGTATCTCTTAAGTGTTGTGATTCACCTTATAAAGACTACTTCTTACAAAAACCACGATACAGTTTATTATGTTCTACAACAAATGGCTTATAAACATAATTAATACAAGAAAACACACTCTGAAATGATCTAGGTTTCTGATTTGTGGGTTCTTTTGTTTTGTCAATCAGAATGTCCAAAATTATGTCTTCCCATTAGTGTAACTTGGCAAAGTGTTCCAAGAAGTTTCATTACTGCAGTAAATGTGTTCTTTTTTTAGAACTAATGAAGCTATCCTTTTGGCTCTTTATGAAGCTGTTCACTTGAATCGAAACTTTATCACTGTATTGGCACAGGTGCAGTATAATTCACTTTTGCATGTCTGGGGATGTGTGTAGAATCTAAATTGCAAAATAGCTCAGGACTTTGGAGAAGCTGCTCTAAATTAAACTCATCTTATTTATGTATTTGGTCAAGTGCTGTGTTAGATCTCAGTAACTTGCTCATGTTTTGATTTGGAAGATCGAACATATGTTCCCTTTAATTGGAACATTGAAGCATTCTATTCTGTTCCTCATTCCTGTTCACCCCCCCTAAAGAAGACAGGAGGCTGATCAAGTACCTATATAGCTCTGAGCCCCAAAATGGAATGGGAGAACCAGCGTAGTCTAGCGATTGAAGTGTTGGAGGTTCTAGTCCCCCTTCAGTTATAGAAGGTCAGTGAGTGACTAGACTTTTGGCTAGTCACTCTGTCTCAGCTCAAACTATCTCCCAGAGTTCTGTTGTAGGGAAAAATAGGAGAAAGGAGTGCTCAGTATATCCCTTTGAACTCCTGTATGAAAGGTGGGATATAAATCTAACAAATATATAAATATCACAATCAATTACTGAATCAAGAAAGAAGTTTAAGTCTGTTTTGAATACATCCATTCATTTGGCCAGCATGTATGCTCTGCTCTGCTCTGCTCTGCTATGGAATAAGCCAGTGCTATACAGCAGGGTTCCTCAG